AATTCGTGTTTGAAAAGTATTCGCAAACGAGTCAACTACGATCCTTGTCGTCCGTTTACATCACTATGTTAAATTGACTACTTCATTTCTGAGAAAGCCTAACCACTAGTTATAAAATAAATCGCAGCTCTCGATCTGCAATCAATGATATTCATATAGATCGTTAACTCTATCACTTAGTCAATTACATTTTTTTTCTGTTTTAAATATACGTTTGTCTAGTCTTGTATTTCTTAAGGCAGGAATTTTTATATTTACAACGTTTGTCCTTGTTGGCCTTTGCTTTTCCCTTTCTTTTCCCTATAATCTGTTTTTGTCTTCGTTTATTTTGTTTCGCAAAACCGTTCAAGGCTGGTTTCGTCGGAACTCGTTTCGGACAACGCGAATTTTCGCAATTAGTTAAACACCGGTTACAACGCGTCTCGTTCCGCGTGTCTGAAACGAGCCACCTTTGTTCACCTATTATGTTCCTATTTATTGACATACGCAGGGTGACCCTTAACATCCGTTACCAGTTCGTCTCAGCGTCTAATGATGCCGACAATTCTTTACGCTGATTTAATGACAAAGAAAGGACGATTAAAAGCATGTAAGTTGCTTAAAATTATTTCCTTTTACATTTCAAGGTAATCTTGAATAGTCGAAGACAAGGTGAATACAAATGTGTATTTGCCGATTGACCTTGAGTTGATCTTCACTTTAAAAATATTATGATCATAAGTTCCGCTGTGATATTGGATCCTTATCTCAAATGGTATTTGCGTCACATCTTATATCATGTTTGTTTACTCTATGCTTTCTCTAGATAATTATAACTGTAGCAGTAGTGATGTAGTAACACTTACTATTATGGAGCGTTATTCGCGGGTATTAACGTGTAATGGGAATTCCACAGAAAACCTAGCTGTTTTGAATACTTGACACTATATAAAACAGGTCCTAATATACTTTTTACACCATAAACTCTATTTTTTACGAGAAGTACAGTTCAAGGTCATTAGAAAAGTTTATTCATACATACTACGTATCACTAAATAAAAAGAAATTCAGTAAAAACAGGAACATAACTTCATTAAAACACGTAACAAACAATTTTACCTGCCTTTGTCATTAAATCACTCTCAAGAATCTTTGAAATATTTTCACCGATTATTGAGACACGGTATGGCGACGGATCACTCAAATCACCTTGCAGAATCGCATCATCGTAAAAATGTACACCCTAGTGATATAAGTTCCTAAAAATAGCCAAACCATAAATGGAGATCCATGGCAAATCATTTCGTACCATAAATGATACTTCCCACGCAAATGTAATCATTGTAAAAATATCGTCGGACTTGCATGCGTGCAAGAATATATGAATGTACGATTCACTTATACTTCCAACGGAATTTAAACATGGTCACTCGTCGTTAAATCTCTTTAAAAAAGTATATTAGCACCATAAATACATGGATCCACACCTCCGCTCTAACCAGCCCGTTTTCTTCACAGAGTCACAAGGGGGAATCCCCGTTAGGATTGCACAAATCAATAATGCACGTACGTTCTAGGTACATGTACCGTTAGAGGTTAGCTTCGACGACAAAATGATTTGCCATCGATCAGCGTATCACCCACTTTGATATAGAATCAATTGCATAGCCTCTAACATAAGATGAACATTAAACGTTCCGTGCATGGTTCTCCATTTTACCAGTCAGAGGCTTCACCTCCACGTCCGGCTCTTCAATGGCGAGGGGCGCTTGCCTCGTGTCCGGTACCTCGACGTCCATTGCACTTTTCGATCGGTTCGCCGATTCTGTCGAATCTTGCGTTTGATTCGACGATCCGGTCTCCTCCAGGTTGGTTGACTTCGTGGGCTCCGTGGGCGACGAAATCGAAGAAGGTGTGGCCATTTCGGAACTCGGAGCAGTACCGTCTCCGTCCACCATGTTGTGATGGTGCGGCTTCTCCTCGAACACTGAAACATTCCACGCGATGGAATTTAGAAAATCTATGCTCTTTTTTCTATCTTTTAGTATTACGAGTTGATGTAGAGAGGATCGTGTCGAGGCAGACAGAGATTTACTTAAGGGTACAAGATTGGAAAGGTACCAAAATGGAAGAAATACTTTTCTTTCATTTGTTTTCAGTTGATAGAATTTTTCGAAAACATATTTGTAAAGGGGAGTTCATTAGAATAGTCACGTTTAGTGCCAAAGTGCCAAGTGCCAAAACTGTTCGCCACGGCCTTGGACGTAGACACTTGTCCACAAACATCCACTGTAATACTATTACTCGGAAAATACTAAAAATGGGTCCACTTACATTTGTCAAGACTTATAATTGACCCTACGAATTCGTTCACAGTGAAAGACGGCGCTTGGTCTTCCAACTGCCTTCTCCTCCTAACCAGCCACCAGTCAATGAGGAACAGTGCCAGTGCTAAAATCTTAATGCCAGCACACAGACCAACGTATCTGAAAGAGACCATTTTGTGTTTTAATAGTCTGTTATCCAAGTCTTGCACAGAAAACGAAGAACAGAGAATTCTCTAAGAGATTACAGATGAAGAAATAATTAGAAAATTAAAAAATGTGTTAAATTATTTGTAGGAGAATTGTAATGACCATATGATTAAGTACCTGTATCTAAACTGTTCGATGTCGTACAGCAAGCATCGGCCACCCTTCTCTCCGCATGTACTTTTCCAAAGTAAGCACGTAGAGTCAATCAAGTTGCCGAATAAAATAGGAGCAGGTATATAACCGAACAGTCGAAATATTACAAACTGCATGCCCAAAGCGAACGACCGTTCTTCTTCCGAGACTGACCTGTGTCGACATAAACATTCAATTGTAAAATTTTATAATGCCACTCACTAAGAAGGCTACCATGCGACACAAACCTCAACACTATCATCAGTAGCGGCATCTGGGTGATAGCGACGATGAAGGTCATAAAGAAAAGTAATATTAAGAAAGGGAATATAGTTCTGCAGGGTGAAGTACACGGGCCGGCAGTCGCTACCGGTACCACTGTCACTTCTGCGAATTCCGGAGCTGCCGGTGGCAACATTGTTAAGTTTCCATGTATACCTGTTAAAGCAAAATCATATATTACACATACAACAGTCATAGTGAAAAGATATATAAATACATTTAATCGATCCGACTATTCGGAATAAAACAGAATCCTATTAAAACAATAACTCGTGTATCATCTCCTCGCTCCATCATTCAATTTTCAATGCTTAACCTTTTAGCTACTGCACTGCACGACTAAAAGTTTTAGATAAAGAAACTATAATACCATTCCTCTTTCCAATCTCTTTACATGGAAATAAATAAAGCTAAAAATGAATGAATAAACTACAATTTATTGAACCGATATTTCATATTAATGTAAAGCTTTCAAAGTAGAGCTGTTCGCATAGCTTCATAAGTTCCATAGCTGAACTTTCACTAGTTTATTGTATCTCCTCGGAGATTATACACAATGGTCATACGAGGGCTACTCACATGCACAGTTAGTGAAATTCGATTTCGAACTGAAGGCAGTGCAGCCCGCATGACATGGACTGAAGTAGGTCAGACCGTTGTTTCCACAGACGGGCTCGACGTCCGTCATTCGACACTCGCAACCGAAGTTGCATGCGGCAGTGAGATTTACTTGGAAGGGCTCTGGGCCCTTCGTGCTGCTGTTAAAGTACGGAATAGTGGTCCCAGCCATTTTAACGTTGTCGCAGCCGAGGAAAAACAGGAGGCCGTAGCAGACCAGACATATGATGTTCGAGACGAGGACGAACTGGACCGCACCCTTCGGCCTTAATTCTAAACGCTTGAGCAAACACCCGCCGAAGAAGATCCCGATGCAGGCGCCCGGTATAGCTATCGAACCGGTGAACACGCTCGCTTGGCTTTTCCCCAGGCTGAACTGGGTCTCGAGATACTTCGGCAGGAACACCACGAAACCGGAAACGATCACCAACTCCATGCAGGCACCCAGACACGTGACCACATACACCGGATTGCACATGAGCCTCCACATGCTTCTGGGTATATCTGAAATAGGATATTTTACTTGAATTGTAAATGATTCCTGTATGTGAATTGATATTGTGGGGGTTGATGTACACAGGGTGCCTTCGAGTGATTAGATAAAATATCGTCCTTAGGATTCTGTTAAGTGTTTGTAGAATGTATTATCACGTTCGCTACCAGGGCTTATTTCGGTGACGGTCTCCTCAATTATAATATTTTCTACAATCCAATAAATCTTCTAAAGAAAATATTAGAAAAATAAAACTGAAACGAGTCATTGAGTTCTTAAATATAATATCGTCGTTTATAGTTTCTAATAATAATATTTATAGGATTAATTTCATTTGCATTATGTAAAATATAGGATTACGGTCGTCACAATGACGCTGGTAGCGAATGTGTTATATGACAAATGGGATTCACGAAATGTTTGTGTGAAATGTGTCTTGATTTTTGAATAATTTTAGTGGTATGTAACTATCATTATACATGCTGCAGTTGATTAAGAATATTTAGGAGGATTGTTTATTAGAGGAATAATAGTTATCTTGAAATCTGAGATAATATGTTTTTCAATGTGTAGTATTTATTTAAGTTTTAAAGAAGATTTCTTTACCTTTTACATCCTTGCCGTAACCACTATCGTCTAGCTTCTCTTTCTTCGGTTCTTTGCACTGTTCTTTTTCCTTCTGCGACGACGATTTATTTTTCTCGATTATACGTATCTTCTCTTTCTCGCGTTGCAGCGTTTTCGGGAAACTGAAGAACGGAATGGCGACTAAGATTAAGAGCAAACCGCAGAGCAGAAATCCACCCCACCACATGCCGACCCATCTGTGGTCGCCTGGATCTGTTTAAAAATATTGCGTATTACACGTGGTGTACAATGTGTTTCAGAAATAAGCGAACCTTCTGCAGAAACCTGTTGCGATCACTCTGAAGGTCGAAAAAGCCATATTACAGTTATTTTCAGCAGAACCATTAATTCTGTAATAATCTCGTAATAATTCTATAATAGTTTTTTAATTCTTTAATAACCTTGTAATAATTTTGTAATATTTTAATTTTGTACTAATCTTGTAACAGTTTTATTTTAATACAGAAAGATATAATAACAATATTTGTATTTTTGAAAAATCTAAACATCTCTAATTTATCATAATTTATCTTCATTCTTAAGGTAAATGTAACAGTTTTCCAGAGCTCAATCAGCTATTTCTGAAACATCCTATATACGAATAAAGAATAATAAGTATTTATTGATTGTCTACCTATACTGATAATAGTTCCAGAAAACGAATCCATGTGAAACGATAATAAGTAAGCTCCAAGGAGGAAGCCTAAGACAGGTCCAAAGGCTGCCATACTGTACATACAACCTGAAGAAATAATAAATTATTTATTAGTTAATATATCATATCTTTAATAGAGGAACATTCTTAAATAGCGTTATTCCTTTACCAATATATAAAGAAGCACTTTCTGGACGAACGTGGTCATCTATGTAAGTAGTACCAAGAGTAAAGAGAGGAGAACCACCACAGCCTAATAATAACTGAGCAAGTACAAATAACATAACAGGGCCAGCGGTGGATGGGGATCCTTGAATGCAATTATCGCCTCTTAAATTGTTGTGTGGTGCTAACGGTGGAGATGATAATCCAGACGACAAACGACCTAAGAAGAAAATCGTCTTACATTCTTTGCCCGACGTCCTCAAACGAAAATAAAGCAATGAAAAGATCCGTTTAAATCTGTACTCTCAAATATTTCAGTTAAATTTGATTTCCATCAAAGAAACATTTATATTAAATTCATTTAAATGTAAACAGTGCAATTGAAATTCAATTTCAAATTTGATCTAACTCAACTGAAGTCAAACGACACGTTCTAAAAAACTTATTCAAGTGAACATTTTTAACGCTGACAATCTGTACGGTTAAAAATAAACTGTAGATAATTTCAAAGTTCATTTGTATAGTAAATATAAATTTAGTAAATAATCTATATATGAATGTAGAGTAATATTTGTTTATAACTTCAGTTATCAATTTTCTATTGTTATTGGGTCATCTCACAAATAACGCGGTGTTTTATATTTCTTTTATTTTTTAAAACTAAAGGTAACAGAACTGTTTTTAATCTAAAACATATTCTCTTTCATTATCTATAAATTATAATTACTTTAACCCTTTGAACTCTGTAAGCTCCAATATTGCACCAGTTACAATATTAAATATTTTAATGAATCTTAAAGAAACTACCCTAAAATTATTAGATTTTCCACACATCCAAATGTTGTGCTGAGAAGGAAAATAAAAGATCGAAGAAATGTTGTAACATTTTTCATTTTCATTAGGGATACTATAAAAATTAGTTTCATTAGTTTGCTGATAGATTACAAACCCATCCGGAGTGCTAAGGGTTAAACAAGGTGTGTTTATCATTATTTTAAAAAATAAAAGAAATATAAAAAACCGCATTATTAATTGGATAGCTCAATGTTTAATAAATGACCAACCTAATGTTACCGGTTCTAATTTACAAATGATATTTCCGAAATTTACCAAGACCCATATCCTGTTCGCGCAAAGATACTCCCCGACAAATGTTGTCGGAGCTAGAGTTGTTCGCAGCCGTCATCAAATTAGGCTCGGCTGTGAAGTGTGGCACCATAAAGATCATCGATCCGAGTCCCATTATAACAGCGCCTGAAATTTTCGGTTTCATTACGGCATTGCAACGATTGCCAGCGTCAACGGATAATATAATACTATTAATCCCTTAACGCTCAGACCTCGGGTGCCATTCGATCTTCTGCCAGATCTATAAATATGTATCAATGTTCGATCCAAATTGCATACAACGGAAGAACGAAGCGTTCCTTAATGAGACTTATTAAAGTGTCTCATTTAAAAAACGACAAGCGGATAATTAAAGGTAAAATCAACCTGATAGTCATTATTTCCTGTCATTTTCCAAATAAACTGTGAAATATGTAATTAATAAAATATACTAAATAAATTAAATATTCCAAACAATTTGGAAGGTTCGAATTAACGAAATAATAATACGAAATTTTATTATATGATTTCAAAATCGTGAACAAATTGCCATAGAAGTAAAATCGAAATTTATAACATACAAGGCTTATGTTACGAAATTTTATTAACCTTTAAGATTACGAATAGACAATTATATAAAAGATAAAATTACATAGGTTTCTTTATTGCGAGAATATTTCTGAAATTGTTATACTTCATTTATTGAAGTTATTATATTTTCTAATATAATTGAATTTTTCACTATGTAAGTTGTAAGTAAACAATTTGTTATCGGTTGCAAGAGGTATTCTGCGTATATTTTTATACACAAAAGTTGATATTGTAGTGTTGTAATAAAATGGTAATAAGATCTAGTAAAAATTAAACTTTTTTTATATCTTTAAAGAAGAAAACGAATTATGAATCTTATTTACGAGTGAAAGCATTGGGCGTTAAGGGATTAAATGCGTTGCATCACGTTGTTCAGTCGTTTTACCAATCGCTATCCAAACTGGTATGTGTCGGCGGCTACCGAGATAGCTGACAAAGATGACTGTAATGACGTTTCCGATCTCGTAGGAGCTCGCAATGACGCCTGATAGGCTGGACGGGATTTCGAACCTTTTCTCTATGGTCGTGATCACAGAATTTATGTAACCTGAACTAAGTGCCTGCTGCAACGTGACGAGAAACGATAGAAGGAACACAAACACCTGAAATCATTAAAAATACACGGTGATCTTCCTGGGCATGTACCATGAAGTTTTTCATGACTGTAAATTTTATCGAGGAAAAATAATTGGGCGCGTTGGAACGAATAAAATTTGTTTGGAATGGAGGAAAGTATAATATAAAATGCAGGGAACGTTAACGGAATTAAAAATGTTAAGTAAATTAAGTGTTATTACCAAGTAAATAATCAAATCTATTAATGAATATTATTAATGAAAATGATTAATTTAAAAGATTTTACTATTAGTATGATTTCCTATTTGAATAATGTATTGTTAATAAAATTAATGGATTTATTTCGTGATTACATTAAACAAATTGTATCGATAAATCTTAACATTCACGTGAATGCCATAAAGGTACAATTGAAAGGCGTTTTTCACGATAGAAAATCGAACAACAACCCTGTCACGTATATTAATTCCATTCATTTTCTCCTTTCGATATACTTCCTATCAAATCGAACGATAAAAGCTGATTAGATAAGCAGGAAGTTTATCGATTCCATTATTGTATCCTTGAGTGCATTTAAACTAACGAAGGCAAAGTGCTGCATTAACGATGATGAAAATAAGTTAAAACGTTTCCCTAGTAATCGGAGCGTTACGTGCCATAAATCAGAATAATAAAATATCTTGAAATATCGATTCACTGACGGAAATAATAATTTTCTAATCAAATTAAAAGAAACTGAAGAGGGTTCAAACAAACCGGAACGAATTACGATTATCCAAATTGTACTTGAATAAGCTAAGGTGGAGTAGAGCTGATTAGAGCAGATTAGAGTAAACTGAAGGAGATTAGAAGCTAGTGTGGATTAAAAAAAATTAGAGTTGCTTAAAACGAAGTAATGTAGACTAGAATAAATTAGAAAAAAGTAGATTAGAATAAACTATAGGAGAAACTAGTAAACTAGTGTGGATTGAAATCAATTAGAGCTGCCCAAAACAAAATAGAACAGACTAAAGCAAATTAGGAAAAGCAGAGTAGAGTAAACCAGAGCAGAAACTAGTAAACTAGTGTGGATTAAAATTAATTGGAGCTACCGAGAACAAAGTAGAATCTACTAGAGCAAATTAGAAGAAAGTAGACTAGAGTAAACTAGAGGAGAGTAGAAACTATTAAACTAGTGTGGATTAAAATCAATTAGAGCTGTCTAACACAAAGTAGAATAGATTCGAGCAAATTAGAAACAACTAAAGAACTAAGTAGAGCGGAATATAGCAATTTAAAATAAGCTAGAGTGGTCTACAACAAACTAAAACGAGCAAACCAGAATGGACTGGAACAAAGTAGAATTAACTACAGTAAACATGTTACAGTAGACTAGAGCAAATTAGAAAGGTTTACAGAGGATTTGAGTGGATTAAAGTGGATTCGGATGACCATAAGTGGTGTGGGTGAGATCTATAGAAGATCTGAACTCTAAATTGATTAGGGTTAAAGTGAGCTAAATTATACTATAATAAAATAGAGGTGGGTAGAGTGTGCTGAAATAAATTACAGAGTGTTAAAGCGGGTTGAAACGAACTGGAAAGTGTTTCAGGGAGTTAATGTGGACTTAAGTGTGTTAGACCCTAGAGCGTTAGAACTATTTAGGGAGGATTAGAGGGTGTCAGAAGGGATTAAAGTGAACTTGAGAGTATTAAAGCGAACGAATACAAACTCGAGAATATTAAAATATTAGAGCGGACTCGAAGGGGCTAGGCAGGATTAAAATAAGACACGAGAACATTAGAGTAGTTGAAAATATATTAATAAGTTTACTACCATCGCCCTTTAAATAATAGTGTCTATAGCAACAATAGTTTATTAAACAGAACACGTTCACTTTATAAAAGACTTAACGAATAGATAACAAAGGAAGGCTGACAAATTTATTGAGTATTAATTCGTCCCTTATAGCATCAAATAAAAGTATCTATAAAATTGATTTAAGTTTCTCTGCGCAAAACATGAAACAGAAGTATTAGAACTGATAAACAATGTATCTGGCAGTATAACAGCAATTTAATATGAATTTACACGTGTTAGAGCTAGTTAAAACAAACTAGAAAGTGCTGGGCCTGGATAATATGTCCTCAACTGTAGACTCTGCAGTGTTAAAACGATCCAAAACAGATTAGAGAGTGTTAGAGCAGCTTAAAATAGCTTGAAGAGTATCAGAACAGACAAGTACGAACTCGAGGATATTAAACAGCGCTAAAACAGATTTGAGAAAGTTAGATTGCGTTAAAACAGGATACGAGGGCGTTACAGCCACGCGAAGCTGATCAAAGAGACTTATTGCGGATTAAAAATGTTTTAAAGCATATCAGAATTCCATTCGACTAGAAGTATATTAGAATGCTTCAAAACGCCCCCGAAAGTGTTAGACAAAAACAAATTCGAATTGTCTAGAGCAAACTAGTAAATACGCGATTACAATTAAATCGGTTTAATAGCGGTTTGTCCGAGAAAAGTTAGATTCTCCTAGAGCAGTTGGAAGTGAGCACGAGCAAACTGGTTAGAGAGACAGTTAGAGCACAGTCCGATATAACCGAGGCGAGACAACTTTTTGTGGTATTGCTGCTATAGATTCTATGGGACTCGAAACCTTATAAGACGAAACACATATTCGATACACCGGCTGCGAGATACTGTTACAAACATTGAAACATTTTAACCTTAAATCCTCTTGCCATATCATTTTCCTTTCGACTAAACTCGACTAATTAATTTTACTATCAACAATTTGCAAGAAACGTTGAAAAATGTTCCATTTATTGTAAGTACATCCTAACTTTGAAGGTGAAATATTAATCCTTTGCAATAAATAAATCCTTTGCTTAAATTTTGTGTAAGGTACCAACACGTGAAACATAAAAATAAAATAGTTCTGTCTCTTAATCTATGCAAGATTTTTCTTTACGCCAATTGCAAATAATGTGATCGATATTTCATCAGGAAATAACGAATATTTATAATATATCAAATATTATCGAGTGCAAAGGATTAAAAACAACAAAACAGTCTTCGATCCAAGGGGAACATTGATTTTTGTTCGATTAATCTGGAGTCACGAGTGTTACTCGTTATTACAAGGCAAGGGGTTAAACTGATCGGAGGAAATTAGAATATAATACGTCGACAGCGTAGTGTTCGAAAGAAGTTAGATTCTTTCAGGACAGTTCGCAGCGTGGTAAAGTGAGCCGGCCAGAAGGACAGTTAGAGCGCAGTCTAACATAACCGAGGTAAGACGACTTTTTACGGTATCTGTGCTATAGATTCCATGGGACTCGAAACCTTATAAGACGAAAGCGATCCACTCGATACTGTCGCTCGCGTATTGTCGTCTTCCGCACTGGCTCAAAATCCTTTCACGGAATGCCGGCAGCGCTTCAATGCCGCATCCTTTCGAGCCATGACTCACGGACGACCGTGGGGTTCGTATAATGTTTAAGCACCCTACACACATTCAGACATGTAGCGATGCCACCTAATTCTAGGTATCGTATACGTTGCAGTTAACGTGGAAAAATGAGATCTAAGGTCCTAGCATCGAAAGCTGTAGCAACGGTTTTAACTTTGACACTACAGTAGAACTCCAAAAAATGATTGAGAACTAAGTATAAAAGTGAGATTCTTCATACGAAAGTAATACAAGCAGAAGAAGAAGGTGGGCCAGTACCAAAAAGGGAATTTAACGCGAGATTCCTAAATGTGAAATCGCTGTAACATGAAATTTTTTAATCGCGTTATATGGAATTCTACTATATTTTCATCGAAGATGACAAAAGACACCTTTTAACATTTTAATTTAACAGTAGAACTACCGAGCAGTCAAATTGATTTTTCAAAATTTCTGTATAGTATATACTATAATTTCTTTAGTCATTTCTCAGAGAATCATCTATGTAATCTGTAAAATGTCTATCTTTGCAATAATTGTGAACAGAAGAAACCAGAAACGGGTCGTTTTGACGAGTCTGGTAGTTCTAGTGTTAAAATTATTTTCTAAGCTTAATCACGTTTCCTCGATTTACTGCTTGATATTTCTCTGTACCATCTTCTCGAGTTAAACTTAGAAAATAATTTTAAGTCACCTTTTTACAGAAGTTTTTTGATACCCTCGATGATAGTAGCGTTAAAAGCTGAAGTCTTTACGCTCGAAGACTCGAGTCGTCGTTTTATTATATTAACATCGTAAAACTTAATTCTGCCTTTTGATAAAAAATATTATCTTTTTATAGAATCTTGTAGTTTATTATATTTTCGAAAGTTCAGGAAGCTTTTGAAGTTTCAAGATTGAGTTTTCTTAGAAGACACGATCTTCGTCGAACCATGAAGCTACTATGACCCAAGCTTTATAGAAGGTTCTGCGACCACGTCTTTAACACTGGAACTATCAAACAGGTCAAAATGACCTATTCCTGATTCCTTCCTTCCGCAATTATTGAAAATATGGCACGATTTTCTGAGAAATTACCAAAGAAATTGGTTCAGCAACACGCAAACACAATTGTAAATAAATAGACATCTCAGTAGACGCACTCTTAAAGTGTCTACAGACAAATTTCAAAAAGAATCTTCGATAGTTTGAGTGTTACCTTTACACTCGATTTATTTTCAATGTTGTTGGGTACAAACTTGTATTTATTTTTAGAAAAATTAATTAAAGTAATTTACAGTAATTCAACGTTTTATATTTATTTTATTTACTTTTATTACTATAAGATTTAATTTTTATAATTTTTCTAAGTGTCCTGCCTTTTCAAACAATTTTCAACGTTCTATAACATATTTGTATTGTCATCTCCAGTATGACATACGAATGCTAAGGGTTAAGTTTAATCGTTTGAATCCCAAGCGGCGCGATCGCGCTTTTCCGTTACACTGCCCAAAAGTGCCAGTCTTTCGGTTCGTAGAATCACATGAAGCTTATTTATTTCTTTTCCTCGTAATTATTCATTTTTATTTTTGATATTACCCGCTTAGAAGTCGAAAAATCTAACGATTGCCCTATTTGAAATTTGTTTTCGTAAAAATAGAAAAGCGTCATTCAGTTTCTAAATTTAATCGAAAGAAGCGCGATCGCGCCGCTTGGCATCTTTCGAACGGGTTTTTGCAAAAACCGGTGGAACTCAAACGGTTAATGATACCTGCTACAATCTTCAGTAGTACTGCACATACTTGGAAAGCAATTCGACACGCTGAAGCGCCTGTTGCAACGTTGCTGTCAAACGACAAATCGAGAAGGATCGGTAGTACAGAGGCAAACTGACGTTGCTGCAGGTTTCACGGAACCTAGCAGTCGATGCATCGCAACATGATCCAACGTGTGTACGGAGCTTAACATCAGTGTGTGCCGTTATTCGAGTCAGCGATCGATCACGGCTTAAGTAAATCGCCGTGGCGATCTACGGGGATTTGGAGAGAGGATAGGAAGATAGGGGGGAGAAGTTTACGTACCTTTATTCCGGCGAATCTCTGTATAAAGGCCGGTCTGCAGCTCAGGATCCCACAGTCCTTCGAGTCCGGATTAAACGGCGGTGTTTGCGCTCTCTCCTTTTCCGTCCTGGATTCGCACATGGCAATGAAAAACGGAACGTTTGAAAAATCGAGAGGTTGCGCGCTTTTGACGCTACAAGTTTCGGATAACTCAAAATGACTCGTTTCGGACGTCTCCTTTTGTTGGGTTGGCTAGAAAGTCTTGTCGCATTAATCGTGGTAGTTAATAATTTAAATCCTTTCCAAATAAATAACACAAAATAATTGAGTATTATAAATCAATTATTTTAATTGTTTACTAAGAAATCATTAAAATGATGGAGTATTATAATTTAATTGATTATTTTTAACCCTTTGCATTTTAGTGGAGGTTCTTTATCAACAATTGGTTTCACAGAGTAATTTGAATGAGGAGTAAGTGAATGTTGTATAAGATTAGATGAAATATTCAATTAAAACATCTTAGTTTATACAGTATTTTGCTTTATGTTACTTGTAGATAATGCCATTGTGTTACTAGTTTCTTATTGGAAAAGGAATTTTCGAGTACAAAGGGTTAAGAAGTTTAGCCCCTTGTTCTATGATTTCTTTGGATTTAATATTTATATTTTAGGAAACGACAAATTCCATTCAGTTTCTATGCTACATTTACTCTAAAGGTTAATAAACAATATTTCGTTTGAAAGAAAAATTAGATTCAATTTGAATTCTGTTCAATTCTGTTTGTAATCTTCTCCACAAATTTTTATATTAGATTACAATATTGTAATACAAGGGGTTGAAAATAAATGTCACTACATCAAATTAAATTTCATGATACTGAAGTGTTTCTCACTTTGTTTGATAACTGTCTGTCATTTTCCAGTGTATCTATGATATCGATTCAGTGTATTACAATACGAACGCCACGTTGAAACGAAACGAGACTTTTTGGTCAACCCAGTACAATTATTAAAAAAGATACTTATGCCTTATGGAGAAACTATTAAACAAAATGATTTACCAATACGCATCCTAAACTATCGATCGAAATCTCAGAAAACATATTCTTATCTACAAAATATAAATCAATGAATTGAATCAACTACAAAACACATTTGAACGTAACTAAAACATTTTTCCCTGCACGCAAAGTTGCTGATAATTTCATGATTAGTTTCATTAATCACTATTTCACTCTTTCCTCGTAAAGGAATTATTAGTTAACATTCAGGTAATTGTAGAAATTAATTTTCGTTATTACTGAAAATACAGGGTGTTCCGTAACTAGCAGTAAAATTAAGCAGAAGATGATTCTACCAGCTAAAAGCAAATCGAAGATGAAGGAAGAGATTGTCTCGTACGAAGCTTCGTTCCCGAGGTGATTAAATTTAAATACTCGTTTGGAACACGTGCGCTTGAGAACGATACCGAGTATTTCTAATTGTGTCGGTGTTTACAAACAGTGACAACGGCACTTAAGAATTAAATTGAAGACATACGCCAATAATAGGAAAGTGACTTCATTGATGACAAAAACACGTAACTTCTCATCATTTTCAGTTTCCATTACTACATAGTAGAGATTGTGAGTAACAGATAGACTTCATTAATATTCAGATTCAATTTCTTCGAATCACTGACGAAGCATCGTACGAATAAGATTGTATTACACTTTTCTACATCGCTTTCGTAAGAGAACCAAAAAGATTTTAATCGAGATTAAGCAAAAGAGTGAACGAAATTCTATCATACATTTTCGAGTTACTTTTATAAGATTCTTCTAAACGTTAAACAACATTTATATTACACGTCTTTTTAGTTACTTTTGCAAGATTCTTTTGAACATTAAACAAAGTTTATATTACACATTTTTGAGATATTTTTACAAGACTTTTAGGCACGTTAAACAAAATTTATATTACACATTTTTTAATTACCTTTATAAGAGAGTTAAATGGATTTCACAAATAGAAAAATCTTTTCGTAGATACTACTGTTAATTACTGGTCACGTCATTTATTTACAAAAAAATATCGTTAATAATAACTGTACAAATTGTGTAAGATCGTATGTTACACGGTGTTCCGCGTTAATTACACAAACCGAACATTTACCTGTCCACCATGGAAGCACTGGGATTCCTGCTGTGACATTTGATGATAAAATCTCTGAAAAAGGGCAAAAACGAGAAACAAGAAGCATGAATATCTTGTGCTGTATGATGTACAGTGAGTGCGTGGTCAAATGAGTTTTAACCTTTAACATTTCATTATTTCCTTCGCGCTTGTAAGTTATTTTTTTGTATTAGCACATTAACTCTGTTGTAAGAGTTCAGTTTCTACAGTGATAGTAAATGTACAGAAAAGGATGTCATCAATCGATTTCAATGAGATTGAAATATGCAGTCAGAATTCTGAGCAATTTTTAGAGACATTCGCAGAAATATATTCGATAAGTCTAATGTCTTTAATATGTTCCTATTAGTTTAGATTGTTTTTAAGTATTTACATAATTTTCAACAATCTGAAACTATTGTACATTATATTATACATTATATCTCTAACGTTTGATGTAAGTTTGTCAATTTTTAACGTTTGTCACTAGTTTCTCAATTCGAATAACAAATGTAAACTACCAATTTTGCGTCAATATTGTACCAAAAGTTTACCATTAATATCTCGGAATCTAATAAATCCTTAAAGCTACAATTTTATATTTGCCGCTCTTTTTTCATTTCTTACAGCCTCTCTAAATTTCATGTCAATCGGCGATAAGTATTTATCCGAACAATATCCGAAGCCTCCATCTGGCTTCACTGCTCACAGCGATCCGTTTGTCATTCGTATTCACATCTTTCGTCTCTATGCTAGATGATGTTATAAAACTCAACTCATACTTCACGTAGAATACTCAAATCTTCCTATGTCGTTTTGCATTCATCGAAAATCAAACACTCATCAGATAAAAGTCAACACAACATTCATAAATGTTTCATAAAACATTTTCCTAAAGCTATCCCAATCAAATAATCCTTGTCATTATCTAAATAACGAAATTTATTAAAAGACTGATGAACAGACTACGAATCTTTATGAATCTCTAAAACCATTCAAATTACAAAGTTGTACGGAATGCACGCAATTTCCAAGACATCCATAAATATCAAAGCTGCTTTTGTAGCATTCGTCGATGAAAACCATTTTCCATCCTGTTTTCCTAATTCTCGTTTTAAATTCATCAAAAATCAAATACTCATCAAATAACAATCAACACAACATTTATAAATGTTTCTTCAAAACATTTTCCTAAAGCTATCCCAATCGAATAATCTTTGTCATTATCTAATTAACGAAATTTATTAAAAGACAAACCGACTACAAAGAGAAAGTGTCTCTTTGTCTCCCGAACTTCTTCGCTTTTAGGAAAAGCGTAGTCTTTTCTCCGTCGGATAATCCCAGCAAGGGATGACATAAATATTGATAGCCTATTTGGAGGTGGAACCGTGATTCGGATCAATTAATCGATGAGACGTCCGACGATCGCAGACGAATCTGTTCCACGTGTGGCGAACGTGTCACGGCCGGAACGCTCTAGTGCTTTCACTCTCCACGTGTTCCGCGTGTGTCGCGCGCTTGCGAATTTTTTTGGACTCGGGGTGGCCCTCCTCCCACGCGAATCCAAGGAAAGAAGACGGGGAAAACGAAGAGGCTCGCCGATTTCGCAAACCACGAGGACCGATTGTGGACACGTATTTTCGTGGCTCACATACGAGCGCTCAGCTGACAGCTTTCTCTTCTTCTCAACACTAAAACTAGCAAGTTATATAAAAATTGTAGTAAAAGATTTTTTTTTAGTTCTGTCAAACAGTAGTTATAGAATTCAAGTGAAACTATTGATTTTTCAAATGATTTCGAATATTCAGTACTTTTCACGCTAAAACTACCAGATCGGAACGACCTATTCCTTATTTCTTCTTTTCGCAATTGTGGAAAAGATAACACATGTTTTTCGTTGTTTGCAATTGAGTTGACTGACAATGAATGTTACACGAAAAGGGTTTGCGACGC